TCCTATCTGTACCAGTGTACCTCCTCTGGTCTAGCCAGTCTTGCAAGATAGAATTCGAGTCATGGTAGTGGGAGCGGGGAGGAAACCTTTAGGCATACAACTCTTATCACAATTCATACATACATAGATTGTGTCAAGCACATTTGTACATTTGTTGCCATCATTATTCTCAAAACATTTTCTTTATACTTGAGCCCTTGATATCAGCTCCTCATTTTTCCCCTCCCTCCCCACTCCCCCTCCCTCCCAAGCCCTTGATAATTTTATAAATGATTATTATTTTGTCATGAAAGACTTAAAAAAAACAAACGATTGTAAGCATGATCTAACAAGTAGGAGTGAAACAAATGAAAACATAGGAAATCTCAACAGACGAATTAGGAGATATAAAAAGAGACCAAATTAAAAAAAGAGAGAGCGAGAGAGACCAAATTGAAATTTTAGAACAAAAAATATAATAAAATAACCAAATTTTTAAAAATTCCCTGAACGAATTCAAGAAGAGTAGAGATGGTGGGTAAAAGGGCCACTAACTCCCTCTGGACAGCAGAGAGAAGAAAGGCAGAAAAAGGGATCAAAATTTCAGGAAACAATAATACAGGACAGAAAGGTCTAAAAGTCATGCCACCACAGACCCAAGGAGAGGAGAAAGAATATAGTGCTGAAAAATAGTGGCTGGAATCATGGCTTAAAGCTTTCCAAGTTTGTCAAAAGGTATACCCTGAAAGATTCAAGAAGCTCAGTGAGCCCCAAACAGGATGAACTCAAAGAAATCCACCTTTAGACACATCCTACTACTGAAAATAGCAACAACACAGAGAAATATTAGGGCTGCATTACAGTACTGCCAAAATGCACATGACCTAGCTAATGTAGATATTAGAAGGAATATCTAGTTTTTAATACATGTACTAAGACATACTAGAGGTCATAAAGCACATGGACTCAGTACTCAACCTACAAAGTATTTTCTTAAAAGAACATATGAGCAAACCCAAAGAAAATAATGTTAAGAACAGAAATCAGTTCAATAAAGAACAATGAAAAGAGAAAATTCTAAATGTGTTCTCTTTAAGACAGGAATTAAGACTCATCCTTATAATATCAAGGTAGTCAGTGTGCAGAGCACAAAAAACTCAAAAGATGGCAAATATTATGTAGAGAAAGGATGTGGTTTCAGTGAAATTAGCTGTGATGTTAATGCACAAGTATTCTCTGCGGAGTTAAATGGGGTTTGCCTATCAAGTGTCATATTCACCCAAGTTCTTTTAAGCCCCACCTTTGGGTTCCACATTCTGAACAGTGTTGATGCAGCAAATACTTCCCAGAATTAATATATTTTTGTGGCAACATCATGAAAACTGTTAAGTAAAACATAGTTGCTACCTAAGTTTTCAACAAGATTCCGTACTAACTAAAGGCTTAAATAATCAAATTCAAAAGTCTATTCAATTCACCTGAGATTTATTTGGAATTCCTTTAAATTATTAGAGTCTTTTATGTAGTTTAAAATATACTAAACATCCACATAAAGGTATTTGAGGGAGAAAGTTGGAATGTTGGCAGAAAAACTTTAAAAGTCTTAGGAATGGTAGCCAAATGCAAATTAACCAGAAATAAAGCCAAGACATTTTAAGGGTTGCTATCTAGGCTATAATAACTCAATTTCTGACTTAAATGCAACTTCACTCACTTTAGGAGGTAAGACATACGCTTCAAAGGGCTTATCGGACGAGTTCAATTCCAAGCCCAAAGGACACCTAAGAAACAGCCTCAGGAGTTCCACCAGTCTCTATCAGATTGATGTCTGGTCTTTTTTCATAATTTTACCAGTTTTGATGCGCGTTTTTCCTCCTACTCTATCAAGAACCTCCTCTTGTGATCCCTTTCAGGGCTGTTAAGAGTGGATGCCAGGCACCATGTAGCTTCTCTGGTTTCAGGGTCCTAGAGACTGATGTTTACATTGTCCATTGGATTGTCTTTCTGTGTCTTTTTTAATTTCTTTAAAAAAAATCATTTTATTGGGGGCTCATACAGCTCTTATCATAATACGTTCATACATCCATTGTGTCAAGCACATTTGTGTCATTTATTTTCTTTACTTTTTCTTGCTCCTGATGGAGATAATGAACTACTTTTCAATTAGAGAAGTAAGAAGAATTTCAAATGAAGAGAACAGATTAATTTAACCAAGTGGCCTATTTAACTGGCAAATCTATAATATCCATCGTGCTTTTATTTATACTGCCAAATAGAATTTAGAAATTCATAATTCCTCAAATAATATTTTTTCTATAACTGAGGAAGTAACAGGCACATCATGTGAGATTTTATTTAACTCCCTGAAGTCATTTTGCTGGTTTCACATGAAACATACGTGGTGCCAGAAAGGAGCATTATAACATAAGATAACATATAATCTATATACTAATTATTAACTTGTCAATCCATAGAGGGAATTTGGGGGGAAATGTAAGAACAAAGAAAAGCTATCGCTCAGCATAGTGTTCTCAAGGTTCATATGTGTTGTAGCATTCACTGGGCCTTCCTTTCTCTTGAGGACAATCATATTACCTCTTTCCCTTAGCAAGCATTGTTAAAAGTGAAAACACTCATTTCTTACCATTTTAAATTAATGCAATCGGGTCACTGGTTTCTCTTTGTTCCTTATTGCTAAATCATGAAATGCAAAGCGTTCAATATCATATTTAACATTACATTTTACTTGACAGGTACCACCAAGAGAGCATAACTTCCAAGGACTCAACCATTTGTCCTTCAGAACGCAGGACGCTACCCCTTCCAAGCCAAGACGCCTTTCGACCCCTACCTATCCCCTCCAGGGGGAGCTGTCAATCCACACCAGGCCCGGGCAAGGCAGTCACTGAACCATCTTGCAAAATGAACATAAAAGAACCCCAGGGACTTGGTGATCACAAAGACTCTCTACATGAAAGCCCTTTCAAGTGTACTGGGAACGGAAATGAGTTTTACTTAGGAAATTCCTCCCCAGCCCCCCTTTTACAGAGCCACCCAAACCTTGAGAAAAAGGAGTCTGAACTTCATTTGTATATTGTTTCCACAACCTCACCAATATTTCTGCTCTTAAGAAGTTCCTGGAACAACTATATTATAGTAAGTGTCCCCATAAATTAACCTCACCCCGAGTGTTGTTTTTTTAGTGCAATGATGTCTTCCCTGATCATCTGCTTATTTTGGAAAGTGATCCTTGGAATTTACTAAGATTGTGAAAGACTAAATGCACTGGACACCTGGAGAGATGACTTTATTTAGGCTATTGCAACTGGGAGAATACTCCTTAATAAAACTTTTTTGAGAAGGAAGGAGGCTGACAATTTTCTGGAGACAGAAAAACCAGGGTCGTGGGTCTGTCTCAGGAGTCACAAGAAAGGGTGGAGCAGGTCTTATTTCAGAATGTTTAAGAGCAGGCTGGTCTTCGCAGTTAACTGGGGGAGATTTCTCAACTGTCCCTACTTTTAGGGAGCACAAGGCTCAGAAAAAGTTCAAATTGTCAATACATTTCTATATTTTAAAAAAAAGTCTCTATATATGTATGTATATATATATGGCATTATAGAATATAGGTCTATGGGAGTCATTGTCATCGTATCAGATGATTTTATCTAGAAATCATTTAGTCTGAGTCTCTTATTTTATAACTGAAGAAAGAGAGGCACCAATGTCTTAAGTACTCAAAATTACAAAGTGAGTTTAGGGGTAGAGTCAGAACTCCCATTTAGAAATCCTTATGCTACAACAGAATTCGTTTTTAAAAGCAATTTATTAAAGAAAATATTCTTTAAATTATCTTCAGAATATGTACTTCTATTATGAGTCTTTTAATATAATTATTTCAGAAATCTGGAAAGCTATTTCATTCAGAAAAAGCTAGGAAGTGGGAGGTTTTAGAAATGGCTAAGCATTGTGGGAAAATATGAAGAAATGCCATGGGGGCTTCATCTGATCTCCTCTGACCTCACTGGGGGAAAGGAAAAGGCTCATTTCCCATGAGGTAGAGGTTCACACATTCCTCCACCTTCTCTATTCTATTCTTATCTTCCACAGCACTCTACTTCTCTGCTGGGTTCAATAATCCTTTCAGTGGCCACACAGAACCTACAGTCAACATTCATGATTAAGGAAGTTAGCAGGATACAAGTCAGGATCAGAATCATTAAGTATACAGTTCTTTAGTCCTCAGTGCTCCTTGTCAGCCAGGCTGGTAGGCACTTTCTGGTCCTCAGCCTCTCAGCGATGTAGTCTCTTGTCCTCTGCCCTGATTAGAAAAGTACTACAAAGCTCCTTTAGCTGTGGCAGCAAGCTTCCTGTCCAAACTATACCCCTTCTGTGGTCTACTGTTCTATGTACCATTCCATGTGCCACTGTGTACTGCCGCCGCCTCTCTGTGCAGGGATCTCAATTATATTCCATTTTCAATTCTTCTTTCTTGATGGCCATGAGAGTCTCTATTCCTGCTTTTGAAATTCCTCATTTTATACCCAGTGGAAGGGCAAAACTGACCAGTCTCTGAGTCAGAATCCTCTACACTTTATTTGCATGCTTCCATCTAGTCATTTGGGGATATTACAAAGACTGTTTGACTATGCAAAGACATTCAACTGTGTGCATCATAATAAACTGTGGGTAAACTTGATAAGAATGGGAATTCCAGAACTCTTTATTGTGCTCATGAGAAACTTGGATATGGATCAAGGGGTAGGTGGGCTAATAGAACAAGGGCATACTGCATGGTTTAAAGTCAGGAAAGGTATGTATCAGGATTGTGTCCTCTCACCACACTTGTTCAATCTGTTATACTGAGAAAATCATCAGCAAAGCTAGATTATATGAAGAAGAATGTGGCATTAAAATTGGAGGAAGACTTATGAGGGGGTGTCCCCCAAAAACTGGAATTTTTTTTCAAAGCTATGTATTTAATATATTTTTAAAACAACCCCTTTAAAAAATACTTTCAAAGTACTCTCCATTACACTTAATACATTTGCCAAATCTGAAATTCTATTCTTGGAAACATTTTTCAAACGCATCTGTTTGGCTGACTGACAGCACCTCCCTTTTCTCCTTCACCTCTACTATGTCATCAGATCACTATCCTTTCATGTCCCTCTGCATCTGCAGAAACAAAAAGAAGTCACACGGAATGAGGTCAGTTGAGTAAGGTGCATGGGGCAAGAGAGACATCCTGTTTTTCTTTGCCCCTAACTGGCACACTGAGAGGGCTGCGTGAGCAGGTGCACTGTTGTGGTGGTAAAACCAGTTACCCGTCTGCCACAAATCAGGCCTTTTTTGTCACACACTGTTACACAATCTTTTCAGAACCTCTAAATAGAAAGCTTGGTTAACAGTCTGACCTGGTGGAATGAATTCCAATGATGAGTTGACATTTTGTCCATTCAGGAAGTTGATGGATGTCCAGAGTGAGGTTTGTCATCAATCAGCTGTTTTGTGAAACAAGAAAACCACTCATACACTTGAGTTTTTCCCATAGCACTGTCCTTGTAAGTTGTGTTCAACGTCACAACAGTTTTTGCAGCATTTTTCCTGAGCAGGAAACAAAATCTCACAGTTGCACTCTGTTCTCTTAAATTGGCCATCATCAAAAACAAAGTTCAAGAGAAATTGCTTTCACGAAAAAACTCACTGTAACCAGAGAGACTCTACCCACGCGCAATGCCACTGGGTGCACTAACTCAGAGCAAGTTGTTCAATGCTCACCTAGTGGGAAAAATGCATGCTAAGAAAGCTCTGATCCACCCATTGCAACTCCTTTTTTTGGGGGGTACCCCCTCATATTAACAACTTGAGGTATGCAGGTGCTACAAACTTGCTTGCTCAAAGGGAGGAGGAATTGAAGCACTTGCTTAAGAAGATCAAGGATTGTAGCTTGCAGTATGGATTACAACTCAGTATAAGGCAGATCAAATTCCTCACAACTGGACCAATAGGTAACATTATGATAAATGGGGAACAGATTGAAGTTTTCATGGCTTTTGTCTTACTTGGATCCATAATCAATACTCATGGAAGTCAAGAGATCAAGAGATGCATTGCACTCGGTAAATCTGCTGCACAAGACCTCTTTAGAGTATTGAAGATCAAGAATGTTACTTCTAGGACTAAGATGAGCCTGACCCAAGCCATGGTATTCTCTATTGCCTCATACGCATATGAAAGTTGGACATTGAATAAGGAAGACAGTAAAAGAATCAATGCATTTGAATTGTGGTGCTGGAGAAGAATATTGAAAGTACCATGGACAGTTAAAGGACAAACCAATCTGCATCGGAAGAAGTAAGACCATAGTGCTCCTTAGAGGCAAGGATAGCAAGACTTGTCTCACATACTTTGGACATATTATCAGGAGAGACCGGTCCCTGAGAAGGACATCATGCTTGGTAGAGTGGAGGGGCATCAGAAAAGAGGAAGAGTGTCAACAAGACGGATTGACACAGTGGCTGCATCAATGGCCTCAGGCATAGGACTGTTGTAAGGATGGCACAAGAGCGTGGAGTGTTTCATTCTGTTGGGCATAGGGCCACTATGGGTTGGAGCCAACTTGATGACCCCGAACAACAACACAGAGTATGGCTAGAAAAACCATACGTTGTAATTTCACTTCATTGCAGGCTATCTTTATGGCTCTTCTAGTCATTGTTCCTTTTATACTTGAAGGTTTAATTTCCCCTCTTTGAGTTACATTTTCAAATTAGAATTCTAGATTTACAGTGAGCCGAAACATTTGGATTGGACAGCTTTTTAACGAAAAAGACCCAAAACACTTAGAGTGTTGTTTGGGTGAAAGTTTACAGTCTCTTAGTTCCCCATCTGACAGTGGACCTTCATTTTGTGTTGTGGCATTAGTTGGATGCCCTCAATATAACAGGGCTCTTCTCACTTCTTCCCTGGGTTCCCAGTGTCCATTCGTCCTTCCTGCTTTATGAACTTGGTTTTAGGCAAATGTAGCTGCCCATTTGGTCCTTGTGTGCTTGTTCTGGGAAATTTGTGTAGGACTTGGATAGAGCCCAGACTTCCCTGGGATCCCATTCTGATATTAAGTAACAAGATAGGGGTAAGCGTATAAGGAGCTGTAATTCAGCAACATCTGCTCTGCCAATGCCACCTTGCAGGCCCAAACCACCACATCATGTTGAATTGAAGTACACGAAATGGTCCTTAATAACAAATGAGAGCTATTTTGTGACATGCATAAAAATATCCTTATGACTACTTTATTATGTTATTGTATCTGGAAGTGTTTCCTTAATGTTTTTTATCTGTGGAAAGATATACTATAAGACTTCAAAAGGTTCGTGAAAAACATTCATTATCTTTCAATTCCATTTGTCCACGAACTTTTCGACTCATCCTCATATACTATAGATTAAAACAACATTTTGACTAGCTGGTATTATGGAACTATACTTACTCGTTCTGATTTACATACATATTCTACTCAAAGACAGACTTTAGGAACAAGTATTTTGTAATTTTGCCTGTGGATTTAGGGGCCCGTTCAGTCTCCATGGCTGCAAAACATCTAGAGTACATAATTTGAAACAAAGGGACTTTTTTTTCAGCAAAAATTCTAATTATTTAAATGTTTCCCTGTTTCAGAAAGGCACCCTTCTACAAGATCCCCTATATGCTAGTGGGCTCAGTTCTGCGATGGGAAATCACAAGCCGTATAGGTAAGGCGTGATGATATTGCTCTCTCCCCTATTGCCTATCACATTAATACTTTCCCCCCAACTCTCGCCTATCTCCCCTATCACATTAATCCTTTCCCCCCAACTCTCTGTCTGAAGCAAACTCAATTACCAATGGAAACCACTTCTTGTATATCTCACAGGACCTTTGTGCACCTTTATGCGCAGATGCATCTTCAGCATCTGCCTTCTGAATCCAACTTAGCTCTTGTGTTTCCTAACCGCGTACATGCTGCCCTTATTCCTGATGGCCCGTGCCACAGTCCTGGGCGTCTGCTTTAAGTCTTTTCTCTCCTTTACCACCTCTCACATCCAGCCAATCACCACATGATTTACATGCTTCTTTAACTGGATAGCACCTTCTTCTTCCCACTGCCACCAGTTCAGGCTGAATCACGGAGCTTTTCTGCCTCCACGTTTGCCCCTCTCCAGTCCATTCTCTAGTGCAACCAGAAGCACCCTTCCAACATGTAAATCTGAACACGCATGTCTCCCCAGTAGTCTTCAGGTGAAGTCTAAACTCTCTTATAACTTTCAAGTAGCTTCATAATCTGTCTTCTTATTTTTCCATTCTTAACTATTGTGTCCCCATGCCCACTTTCTGCCCCAATCTCCCTCTTCAAGTAAACTCCCTATTACCAGAAGTTCCCTATTTCTCTGCTGAGGCCTAACCTATGGTAGGCCCTATTCCAAAACCCTCATCTACAGTCTTCTTCCCCTTTCTCAACAGCTTCAGTTCATCAAGTCTTAGCTCATCAACCTTTTCTTCTGACAATCTTTTCTTGACCTTTCAAAACAAAGCACATCCTGTGCTTCCGTGTCTTGCAGCACTTCCCAGCCATGTCTGATTATTTGCTGCCCCTTTCTGCAGTGTGCTTCTTCAATGGGGACACACTGTCTGCCTTTAAGCCTTTATAGGATGAATACATAAATGCCATCGAATAGAGGCTGGAACTGGAAGCTAAGGAGTCTGTACCTTATCACAACTTTTGTCATAGTCTCATTGTGCTTTTATTTAATAGTCTGCCTTCTATTATATTGATGTGTACTTACATTGTGGAGTACTTGTAGTTACTTGTGCTCTGACTATCTCTTTCAGTAGACTGTGAGCCCTGGAAGGCAAGGGGGAAATCTTAACGTTTTGGTTTTTTTAATCTTCTTTAATCAAAACCATCCGTTGCACATAGTAACCACTCAGGGAATTGGCAATGTCAACTATTTTGAGGCAAAGTAAATCATAGGTTTAAATTTTGAGAAATGTATGATATTGAGTAATACTAGGACAGTTTAGGGAATGAGCTAAAATTAAGTTAATTTTAAAACATGCATGTTCATTGTACGCCAAAAAGGAACCATGTTTCCTTAGAGGAATGGTTGATTCTGAGCCTAGAGAAGAAGATATACAAAATGAGCCCCAAATGGCTTAATATTCTGGAAAGCAAACATTAACTGGGCCCTAGCTAAAGGACCCAGGGACCCACCTTTAGGGGCCCAAATGGGACAACTTGAGCATCAGAAAAAGAATAAATGAGGTGATTGAAACATAATAATTACATAAAAATACTCTTAAGAACATAATAATTACACAGCTCTGTATAGTGATATGCCACAGAAAGAGCTGCCTAACACACCCAAAGGAATAAAAGCATGTTGAACTCTATTAGATGTAAATATGGCACCAATCCCTTATTCTGCAGACTGGCAAGCAAAATAAAAGAATTAAGGATTTATCCTGTATTTCCTGTATGAGCTGCACTGCAGCAGCACTAGTTGATGAGGGAAAATTCCTTTTTACAGCGTTCCAGTTAATAGGTGTGGACAGCTTAATAGAATTAGGAATTTTAGAATTGCTACTTTTCAACCGCTAATGAAAACATTGGACAAAAAGGTGAAGTGGAACTGCACATTGAAGGGATTCTACGGCGAATGACCCAAATGATCTTAGCATGACTTAGACAGGACAATTAGATTTTGTGTGCCCCTATTTATTGCAATATGAAAGGCAAAGCACTATCTATGAAATACCTTTTTAAAAACAATTAAATTGAGTTTGCCTTAAGAGTGTGAGTGTGTATTAGAGATTAGGAAAATGTTCACAAGATTTGAAACAAGATTAACACAATGAAAATTACTGAAGTTGAAGATTTTTAAATAGAAAGTTATGAAGCTGGGTGATAGCTACAATAGGATTCCATCTTTTTCTCCATGTTTGGGTACATTTGAAAATTTATATAATTAACATTTCAAAAAGACTTAAACACCTAAGGAAATATAACAATTTATTCAGACCCACATTTTAAAAAATCACATAGGAGTAGCCTTCAAAGGGTTTGTGGAAAAATTCCATGATTTTCTAATTCCGTATTTTTTGAAGTCCCTTTGGACAGAAGACATTTTAAAGACTGTCTAGGTCATTTGAATATGAACTGGGCACTAAGCAAAACCAACACTTTTGTTGGTATGATGATGATATTGTAAGAACATTAATTTCATTAGATTTATTGGGAAAATATGTTCAATTTATTATAAATAAATTTTATTTAGAAGTGCTTTCTGAAGGATATAGGAGTTAAATGACATGGCTAGAATTTCCACATGTTTTCAGATGTTTACTCTTAAAAGTTTACACTAAAAAGTAGGGTACTTTTTATTTTGGTACTTTATTTCATTTTGGTACTTTATTTAAAGTGGTTTAAAGCTAGTTGTATAATAAATTTGATGCTAATTTTCTGTATATGTGCCTTGATATTTATTCCAGAAGTAAATAAAAAGAGTTCTGACCCTCTCTTGTCTCAGGAAAAGCACACTTTGTGTTCAGTTAATTGAAAGTGTATTTAACATGCCCTGGGAGGGACCTCAGTGAACCCTAAGAAGTGATCTCAGTTTAAAAGGAGTAAGTAGATGTTGGGTTTTCAAATCAGAACTCTATCACAAATATGACAGTTCTATAACCTGACCATTGTAAATGTAGTGCACAGTGCTTCTTAATTAACATATAAAGGCTTTCTTTTTGGCTATAAAGCATTTGCAAAACTAAGAGCTTATGAGATCAAGAATCCTTCTGGTAACTTCATGTTGGTGAATTCCTGTTTTCCACTTGACGAACCACCACTTGTCTGTCAGTTTGTTTTACTGTGGTGCTTTGTGTGTTGCTGTGATTGGAAACTGTGCCGCTACCATTTCAAATCCCAGCAGGATTACCCAGGATGGGCATGTTTCAGCAGAGCTCCCAAACTAAGACAGCTAGGAAGGAGAAATAAGGAGCCCATTTCTGAGGAATTAGCCACGGAAAACTTCATGGATAGCAGCAGCAAACATTGTCTGATATAGTACCAGAAGATGAACCCATCCCATTGGAGGGCGCTCAAAATATGACTGGGCGGGAGCTGAGCTTGTTGTTAGGTGTCGTTCAGTTGGTTCTGACCCATAGCGACCCCATGCACGATAGAGTGAAACACAGCTTGGTCCTGACTCCACCATCCTCACAATGGTTCCTGTGCTTAAACCCATGTTGCAGCCACTGCATCAATCTACCTTCCTTGAGGACCTTCCTCTTTTTTGCTGTCCCTCTATATTACCAAACATGATGTCCTTCTCCAGGGACCGGTCTCTCCTGACAATATGTCCAAAGTATGTAAGACAAAGTTTTGCCATCCTTGCCTTCATGAGCACTCCAGCCAAACTTCTTTCAAAACACCTATTTCTCCTTTTGGAAGTCCATGGTACTTTCAATTTTCTTCTCCAGCACCACAATTCAAACACAGCATTTCTTTTTCGGTCTTCCTTATTCAGTGTCTTACTTTCACATGCAGATGAGACATTTGAAAGTACCATGGTTTCGTTCAGGCACACTTTAGTTCTCAAAGTAACATCCTTGCTTTCCAATATTCTAAAAAAGATCTTGTGCCCTCAGTTTACCCAATGTAACACATCTTTTGATCTCTTGACTGCTGCTTTCACAAGCACTAATTGTGGATCCAAGCAAGACAAAATCCATGACCACTTCAACCTTTTCATTTTTCATGATGTTACTTACCTATTGGTCCAGTGGGAAGATTTTGGCCTCCTTTACATTGAGTTATATTCCATACTCAAGGCTGTAATTCTTGATCTTCACTAGCAAGTGCTTCAAGTTCTCCTCACTTTGAGCAAGTAAGGTTGTGCCATCTGCATCAAACACACATGAGTCGTCCTCCAATTCGGAGGCCACATTCTTCCTCATATCATCCAGCTTCTCAGCATAGTGACTGAATACGTATGGTGGGAAGATATAACCCCGACACACACCTTTTCTAATTTTAAACCAAGCAGACTGGACAGCACTACAGCATTTTTGTTATATTAATATATATACGTGATTTGTTTATATTTAAGTTACATAATAGAGTTTTCGAGCATTATGCTTTTCTTTTGTAATTTGGGCAAAGGAAACTTGCCATGTACATAAAAGCAAATACTCCCTAAACGTTCAAATAAATTGTGATTATAAATCACTTATCTGTAGAAATATAAAATGCTTAGTCTTATCTAAATTTGTGAAGTATATGAGACCTCAATTTATGTATGAACTGATGTTTTAGGATGAAGAAATTCATGTGCTTTTTCCTATTACCTTTTTAAAATAAAAATATTAGTTTGGTATCACAGCCTATTAGAATAGGTAACAAAGGATTAAAAATAGTTTGTTTCTGTTATAGAGCTGTTAGATATGTAAATGTGCAAAGACCAAAATGTAGTGAAACAGAATATACTTATTGTGAGTAGATACAATTTGAATTAGGCAGTATCAACCCTAGTTATGGAGAAGGTGCTCTAGAGAGAGGAACGTGAAGAGGATGTGTGGTGTCCAGAGAGGGTCAGTGTACATCCCCAGTGTACATCCCCACCATATTGGTTTCTCAGAGCATGGGAAGGGCTTCAGGATCAATCAGTTATAACAGGACATTAATGACATCCCATATCTCTCAGCCAGAGCCTGGATTTGCTGCTTCTAGTAACTGGCTGCCCATCGATAATTCTCCCACTCAAAAAAAAAATGCAAACAAACAATGCCTAAGGCAAATCAACTTCTGCTAGGCTGCTTTTGTTTGACCCAGAAGATGCAGTTTTTTAAAAGGCTCACCATTCAGAAAGGCACCTGGATGGGCTTTCTTGGCATAGTGGGTTATGTGGCGATGATAGTGGTTTAAACCTACCAGGCGCTCCTGAGGAGAAAGAAAAAGCTTTCAAAGACAGTGAGGATTAAAAAAAAATTTTTTTTAAACAATTGACTTAAGTGCCATATCTCCATAGAGCCAGCAATCTGGATTCCAGGAAAATTAAAAATGTTTTTTTTTTACAGATCTTAATAAATTGCTGACTCCTAATGGAAAATAAACTGGAAAGCCAATTTAAAAATAATTCTGCTGATATGATATTTTACCTGAACTTTTGCTTTTCTAAGCTTATTTGTTTGTGAAAGCAGCATTTCTCCTGGTTTTAGAGTTCTCAGAAAGATGGTGGATTTTATAATAATCTTTTAAAAATGTCATGATTGGAGTTGAGTGTATAGGGAAGTGGGATGCCAATGCTTATGTATGTATTTTACTTAGACAACATTTATTATTTACTGTGTGCCAAGCCATGCAGCAACTAAGTAAAGTATCAAAATAGTATAACAGAGTAGGTACTATTACCATGCCTATTTCACAGATGTGGAAACAGAGGTATGGAGAAGCCACACAAGTTGCCCAAGATAATTCCCCGGGGAGAAGAGGAGGCATTACACTGTGTGACCCTAGTCCCTATGCTCAGAATCATGCTTTCTTGCCTCTATGCTTCCAACCAATTATTTCTTTTCTAGAGTCTTTAGTAGAAATAAATGCTCTTTTTTGTTCTTTTCCAGAAAGCCATAAATTTTGTGACAATGTTTTTTCATTTGGTAAAGAAGAACATCATAGGTTGTTTGTTTGTTTTTAAATTACCAGGGGGGGGGTCGTGAACCCGGACCCAAATTTCATTTGGTAGTATGGGATAAATGGCTGTTATTACAGGTTAGTGGGGCAGGTGGTAAAAATGATTTCCCTTTCTTCAATAACCCTAAGAACATCGGCCCAGTGGCGGCAACAATGGGTTCAAACAAGAGGACTTGTGAGGATGGCAGGAGCCGGTTGTGTTTCATTCTGCTGTACGTGAGGTTGCCATTAGTGGGAACTGGCGCAAAGCCCCTACCACCACCAGCACACAGGACACACAACTTTTCTCCTGCTGCTTTGCATCCGAACTGTCTGCCATGAGTTGTGTACGCTCTCACAGGTTACTCCACTTCTCTGAAGTCGTGGGAAAAGGAAGGTGCTTTACCACTCTCCCTTCACTGGGGACAATGAGCTCATCCGTAAAATGGACTCAGCCCAGAGGCGGCCCGCATTGCCTGTGCTCCATTCAGGGTCAGTTGTTTTGGCTAGGCCAGTGGGAAACGGAAGTTATTTAACACGGGAATGTTACTCAACGTTTTTTGAGAATCAGCTGAAGGACTGGGGCCAAGACACAGATAGCTACTGTAGGGTGAGCTAGGATTAGTGTGATATGAGAAATGTAAATAAAATGCTTGGGCAGAGGGCCTACCTTCAGCTGGGGGGCTTACCTCACTATTCTTCAAGTGAGGACTGTGGGGTAGCAGCCCCCACAACCGAGTGGGTCCAAGGGGGGGTTGTGTAATTGAGGAGTAAAATTCAAGAGACATCAGACAAGATAAAGCTTGCAAATGCTCACCTCCGGGACTGCCACGACTTGAGGAGCCAGGCCCACGCAGAGAAAGCGAATATATTTCCAACCAAGGCTTATAGACACTAGGGAGGTGTGCAAGCCCCCCTAATTACAGGTAATGTAATTACACATGTAACAAGGTGGGCTGAACCCTAACCCTTAATGTCCCTGAGTACATTGAAGGCGTAACCTAACCCCAGTGCCGGGGCAGGTAAGGAGAAGTGGCTGTCTTCAGAGCCTGGAGAGCAGTAGCACTTGTCTGCTCCTGTAGTTGAAGCTGCCGGCTGCATAGCAATCAGCTGTGTGCCTGTAAGAGGAAACTTTTATGGGAGGAGATAGTGGGGAACAACATTAATTATGAGAATGTGATTGGGACTCACCTCCAACTCGCAAAGGTGAAGACCTCCTTCCATTGCAGAAACCCTGCCTGCCAGGTTTCTTAATACCTGGGAATAAAGGATTCATCTGTGTATATATATACGTCTGTGCTGGGGTCGGGGGGTGGGAGGACTTCAGGTGGGATCCTCAGATGCATGCAGTAACTCTGACTCTGTGGTGTGATAAGGGTTCCGTTTGGGGCTCTCTGATTTTCTCCAGGAGAGCCTGTGGGGCTGGGCGCCAGTGGTGGCAGCTCTACCACACAACGCAGCTGCCTTTTCCTCTGAAAGGGCAGGCGGGGGATCAGAATCTGGGTCAACTTAGATTTTGTGTTGCTTTATGCTCTTTATGGCAAGGAATGCAGGCTTTTCATGTAAAGTAGTGATTTAAAGTTTTCTTTAGACTTCTTTAAGCAAAGTGAGAGTTCCCTGGGTGGCACACACAGCTGTGCTTAATCACTAACCTGCGCTCTGCAGTTTAAATCCACCCAGCAGTGTTTCCGAAGGAAGGCTTAATGTTCTGCTTCTATAAAGAGAAAAGGTTCGGGAGACTGTGGGGCGGTTCTGCTCGATGGCACACCAGGTCGCTGAGAGTCAGCATGGGCTCAATGGATAAGCAAAAAAAAAAAAAAAAAGTTGATTTAAAGAAAAATTGTTAAGCAAAATCATACCCCCAAGCAAACTGACTGCCTTCTAGTTGATTCTAGTCAGCTCCACATGGTTCATAGGTTATGGTAAGTGGCAGGTAAGCAATTGGGGTTCAGCAGACTCCGTCCGCCAAGTTAGGCTATGAGAGAGAGAGAGCTTTAGTGGGGACAGTGAGCACATTCCTTGCATGGGCACAGCTTGAGTAAAGAGGTATGGGTAGATAGTGGCTTTAGGCCAGAGTAAGAGGGGTGTGTGTGTGAAAGGTTCAATTTGGAGGATCAAGGCTCATGTAATGACAAATAGGGCTAAAAATGCAAATCTGTTAAAATTCCATTAGTAGTAAAGTTTTACAAACTTGTCCATAAGAGTTGATATTCCTAAACTGCCATTTCTGTCCTTTTTATGGAAATGGTTTTTTTGTTTCTGTAGATCAGAAGAGAAAATTAAGCACTTCACTCAACTTAAATCGGAGATCGTTCTTAAAGACAATACCCTGAGGAAGATGTTTGATTTAATTACAGAACTTAAAGTAGCAGCTCAGAACAACTTCATTCTGAAAAGGCTTTTCTGGAAAGTAAGTGCTTTGGTCTTCATTGTTAAAACCTGTTTCATCTGTTTATCCAATGCAGCCATTCAAGCATGAATTAAAATATAAATAAATGTGTTGCATGTTGATGCTATACTTCAAAATGTTGGTTAAATTTATGTAACCATGTTGTGTTAGTCTGTGTGTTTGTTCGGGTAGACCATAGAAACATTTGCTTATACTCATTTTATCTTCAGCCATCAGGGCAGGGAAGGTGAACATCGCAGAATACCATGTTAGTCGAACAAATTGTTCTTGTGTTGAGGGAGTACTTGAGCAGAGGCCCAGTGTCCATCTACTACCTTAATATTTAACATATAAATATATGTACATAGATCTATTTCCCTATCATTATATATAAATATATTTACATAGGTACATGCCTCTATAAATGCCCTTTGCTTCCTAGTTCTTTATTTCCTTTTACTTTCAGTTTGCCCCATCCCACTATCGTTTGCCCTTCATTCCGCTTTCGTTAATTCCTCTTGGCTACATTGCACTTGACCGAGGAACTCTTTAGGAGGAACTTTATGAGGAATCCTTTGATGGTTTGAGTGAAGTAGGCAACATTCACATCATAATGCTAACCTACCTGAAACCCCATTGTTAGGGCTGTTAGACCGATGATAAGTGGGGGCCCTGGCAGTTAGTAGGGAAAAGGTACCATCTAGGTAGGCCCAAAGCAACACACAAGAGAGTGCCTGCTTAGCTGAAGCAAGGCCATTTGGGGGAGTTAACCGCCTGTCCCTACATAAGTGTTGGTAAGTGTTGGCCATCGTGATTCTATGAGACCGAGGACACTTGCCCGGGAAGGTCTCCCAGGCTGGAATCTTTATGGGAACAGATTGCTAGGGCTTTTCCAATCCTGTGGAGTTGCTGGTGGGGCTGACGGGCTGACCTTTCTGGCTTGCACTGAAGGGCAATTTTCTTCCTTTCTTTCAAATGTGACTTCTGGAGATCAGCCAACCTAACTCTTAGTAGATTACAACTACCCCATTGCAGCTTTAGATGAAGGTGTGGAGAAGCCCAACTGAGGACTGGCTTGGCGTGAATGAGGCCCAGTTGAGGGAGGAAACCCCACCTAGAGCCCAGCTTACTGCTACATTTGACGGGCCAATGATGCATCCTAATTTTGACCAACAAACGCAGACAGAGTTGTCGTCATTTCAATGAGTAGTCGCCAAGCGTACAATCTGCGGACCAGTCCAGCCAGTCTCGCCCATGTCTTAGATTCTGGGTCTTTCCTAAATAGGGTTTGCCCAAGACTAGGATGACCAGCTCTCCTAGTCCGCCCAGGACTGAGGTAGTTCAGGTGGAAAGGCCAAAGAAACTGGGCTTATTTCTCACCCAGATCGAACTCCCCAGTCCATCCCACACATTGCATCAGCTAGATCTATAGCTACAATTGTGTGTCTTGTTTGCTTAAAACCTCTTGTGGCTCTACCTATTACATTCAGCGCAAATATTTTGGCTTTGACATTGAAATGTCTTTCAATAATTACTTTGCCACAAATTCCAAATTTGGGCAGGGTGGGCTTTGTGTTAATAGGTGGGACTTACCAGAGAGGGGCCAACATTTGGGTAGAGCAGACACCGGAAGAAGTAATCCAGTTGTAGCTGCTTATGGAGATCGCATGAAGGGAGATCACTCCTAAAGAGTGTGCAAAATGAGTTATAGCAGATTTCTGCACATAGGTATTATACCCAGGTGATGGCACAGATTTTTTGGCCCCATAAGGATCTTGTTTAGAGTTTAAGAAACTCAGGACGTGGGAGGAGGATGGGTGAAGACAGACAGGGAAGTTGACTAAGAATAGAGTCAGTCCATGCGAGAGGTCCGGAAAAGAACTCAGGAAGAAAGAAATTACGGTGGATTGGCCTCAAAGTCGGTGTGTAAAACCACTGCCCTGTGCTCATTTGTCAGGGCACTAGCTGAGCCCAAGCACTTGTGAGGGTGTTTGGTGCCTGGCTGTATGCATCTTGCTCCTTTTTCTCTCTTCCCTTCCTCTACCTCATGCCAGACCATCTGAATAAGGACGTACACATACTTGTCTAAACAGAGATTGTGGGTCAACAAGTGTTCTGGGAAATAGGTGAATAAAGAAGAATTAGTGAGAGAAGCCATTACAATACCTTTCTCATTAGAACCAGCTTGCCTGGTTTCATGGGCCAGTGCTTGTTTCCATGGTCAATTTCTCTCATAAGACTGGCTGGGGACATAAAAACACCGGTTTCTCCACTTTTAAGTCGGTGTTTATGTTGGCAGAGATGGAAGTTTACATTCTACTATCTAACGGAAGTGGCAATATTGTTCTGGATCTTTTGCAACGTCTACCGGTTTGTTTGGTCCCTGTGAGTGTTTTTCCCTTTGCACTTGATTTTGCCGTGATTAACAACATACGCAGCAGCAACACAGACACCACGTGCTGCGGGGCCGCGGGCTCCATTCTCCGTTTGTGCAGACGATCTCCCGTTGTCGGCTGTATCCCACATAGATAATGAAAAGAACGAACATAGTGCTCACAGAAGACTTATTTTTTTAACTAGTCAAGCTAAACTATTGTTGGGTTTGACTAAGCTGCAAGGGGATGCTTTTGATTTACGCTTTCCAGGTTACCTCAGGGTGATAATTTCAGGAGTGCATCTACCTTCCATTCAAGAGCCTTTTCATTTCCTCACCAAAGACAACGATTTGGGATAGGCAGGAATTATAATTGCTCCCATTGAGTATTTCATCTTAAGGTGGCTAAAGCCTGAGATGAGACACCTGCTTCTGGATGAACTCCAGCAGTAATGAGTGAGCCAGGCCCGGCACGCCCCTCCTCGCATCAGCCCTGCCCAAGAGCCCCTGCGCTGTGCGCCAGCATCGTGGGTCCTGTCAGTGGGTGTACAGGAAAGAATGCTTTCACTTTGGATTAAGCTCAACCTGATGAAAGAGATTGCATGTCACTGCCACCTCAAGCAAAGAAGAAAGCCTTTCTTGGTGTTTTTAGTATAGAAGGATAGAGAGTATTAACAGGCACTACCTTAATCATCTCTTTTCCCACTTGCTTTCACAGGCCAGTGACCTCTTCTATTTCCTAGTGAACAAACTTCATGAATACTTGCCAGAGTCTAGAGATAAGAGCGCCCTTCAAAACAAAAGTCAAAGGACTGATGAGCTGGTGTAAGGACACAGTGCATAATTATAAATGATGTCAAAGATAAGTGAAAGACAACCAACCAAAAGTCAAACCACTGATTTCAACTCACAACAATCCTACGCAGAGCTTCTGAGACTGTCAGTTTTTAATGGAGCAGACAGCCTCATCTTTTTCCCTCGGAGGAGCCAATGGGTTTGAACCACTGACCTTATTTATGGTTAACAGCTAAACCACGGCACCACCAGGCCTCCTTAAATGGAAGCCAGTGGACAAAAGAAAATGTGTATTAATGCTTGTTCAAGTCTTGCTTCATATAGGTTTTAAAATACAGCCTTTATTTTGGTCCAGTTTTAAAGAAAATTACCATTAAAAAAAAACACTTAGTAATATTGGCTACCTCAAAGGAGAAAATATGGGTGTCTGGAGGGACTGATGTAGGACAGACCCCTTTTATTGTATTCCATATTTCACCTTTGAAATGTTGAACCTTGAGAATATATTACTTATTAAGGAGCCCTGGTGGTGCTATAAGATAAGAATTGGGCTGCTAACCATAAGGTTGATAGTTCAAATCCTTCAGCCGCCCCATGGGATAAAGATGAGGTTCCTATAAAGATTTATAGTCTTACAAACCCTGTGTAGGGTAACTATGAGTCAGAATCACCTCAACGGCAGTTTGTTGTTGTTGTTTGGTTTATTTGAGAAAGAAAAAGAAATAATTAAAAATGATAAATAGTATATAACTATTATTAAAATTTTGGGCGAAATACATGTACAAAAGTTTTGAGGATGACTCCTAATCCCAATATCCAGCTCTCCTTTCATTCCCCCAGGTATTTCTGAGTGCTTTCTAGGTAGCAAGCACACAGTAGACACGTACCCAGTGTTGGCAATTTGTTATATAGAATTTCCTTCCTGTGTTTTTCTCTATATGGATTTCAGGATGCAAGTTGATAATGACTACAGGCTCCCCAAACTGCCAATCACCACAATGCTCTTTGTCTTCTAGGATGTGCATTGAAATTGTCCAGACGCTGGGCTTGATGTTCAGAGAAACAGAAACCGAGTTATCTCGCCTGAACACATTAGCAGCTAAGAAGTAAGGTCCTTCTGAATTTGGGATCTTGTAGTTGCAACCCCTTAACTATTGGTTGTAAAATGTTCTAACTTCTCTGTTTGACTCCTTGTTCTTGTGTTATTTATCTTTCCACTTCCTTCTGTGATACACAGATTAATTGGCTCATGCTGAGCTCTCTCCCGGGAGCCCTGATAGCAGCTTAGTGGGTTATGAATTGGGCTGCTAACTACAAGGTTAGCAATTTGAAAGATGAGGGCTTTGCTCCCATAAAGATTTATAGCTTTTCTTACCTTATAATTAAAAAAAATTTGTTTAAAGAATCAAGTATTTCACCATCCAGCCAAGTACTTTATTTACCTTGAAATCAGGTTTGAGTTGTAACTCGAGAGTTCAGATTTCTTGATTGCAGGCTTCGTGACTTTAAGAGGTACGTGACTGCTGATGTCACCTGCTACCTAGTGTGAGGCTGACTAGCAGATGCAGTTTTGTGGTAGCCAGCGCTGTCGGAAGAGAGGAAACAAACACAGACAGGGAAAGAGAAGGAAATCTGCTGAATGGGAGGGATCTGAATTCACATCCCAACCCCACCCAGAACTCTACACACAGCACTGGTGTTCCTACCCAGCTTCTCATCCAGCAAAAAGGAGAAATACCCTCCCCCATGAGAAATACTCTACCTGGAACAGCACTTTGGAATTGTGAATAAAACCAGAAGACTAGTATTCCAATTAAAAAAAGATTTATAGCTTTGGAAACCCACCGGGGCAGTTCTACTTGGTCCTATAGGGTCACTATGAGTTGGAACCAACTCACTGGCAGTGAGTGTTCTCTCTGCCCTTCTGGATTATGACAGGTATAAAGATTTCCCATAGCAAATAGAGGAAAGAACTGGGAGGCAAAGGACATTTATAGAGGTCTAAATACAGGCATGTATATATGTAAATACATTTATATACAATGACAGGGAAATAGATCCATGTACATATATTTATTTATAAAGTTTTACGGTAGCAGATGGACATTGGGCCTTCACTCAAGTACTCCCTCAACACAAGAACAATTTGTTCTACTAACACGGCATTCTGTGAAGTTCCTCTTCCCTGACATCACTGAAGATAAAATGGGTGCATAAGCAAATGTGGTGAAAAAGCTGATGGTGCCTGGCTATCAAAGATATAGCATCTGGAGTCTTAAAGGCCTGAAGATAAACAAGTGGCCATCTAGCTGAGAAGCAACAAAGCCCACGAGGAAGAAGCACACCAGCCTTTGTGATTATGAGATGTCGATGGGATCAGGTATCAGGCATCAAAGACCCAAAACAAAACAAAACAAACAGAAAGCATATCAATGGGAATGAGGAGGAGGGCAGAGTGGAGACCCAAAGTCCATCAGTAGTCAATTGGACACCCCCTGTCAAAAGGGCCACAAGGAAGAGAAGAGCCAGTCAGGCTGTAGGATAGCTCTGACAAAACACACAACCTTCCTCTTTAATGCTTGTTCCCCCACCCCCACTACCATGACCCCAATTCTATCTTACAAATCTGACTAAACCAGAACATGTATACTGGTACAGGTAAGAGCTCGCAACACAGGGAATCCAGAGCAGATAAACCCCTCAGGACCAATAAGGGGAGCAGCGATACTAGGAGGGTAGGGGGGTGGGCAGTAATGGGGAACCAATCACAATGATTGAGATATGGCCTCCCTCCCAGGGGGATGGATAGCAGAAAAGTGGGTGAAATGATACAGTGGTCAGTGTAAAACATGAAGAAGAAAAAATAATAATTTATAAATTATCAAGGGGATATGGGGAAGGGGAAGGTTGGGGAGGGAGGGGGAAAATGAGGAATGATGCCAGGGGCTCAAGTAGAAAGAAAATGTTTTGAAAAAGACGATGACAACATATGTACAGATGTGTTGGACACAATGGATATATGTATGGATTGTGATAAGAGCTGTAAGAGCCCCCAATAAAAATAAAGAAAAATGAAAAAACAAACACAAATGCACAATAAAATAAAACCTTTAAGACAAAAAAAAGATTTTCCTTAGCATATTTTAATCTTTTGTCCTAGCCTTGAACTTGAAAAAGATCAAATGATCTACCACCCACTAAATGCCAAATTTTCCCCAATGTCCTTGTGTCCTTATAGCCTCATGAAAGTGTTTCCCTCCTTATTATTTTCCTAAGTAGAAACGGCAGTAGTTCAACCTGCTTAGCTTTATTTTTATTGAAATGTGTTAAAATCCTTTCATATGTTAGCACTTTCCTGGTTAAGTCCATATATGGTCACAGCAAGTGACCTAGGATTTAAAAATTCCTTTCCTTAGCCCTCCATAGATGATGATTTGAAAAGAAGCCATTGCTGAAAACAAAGGGCTATAATTAAATAACCACAAATGGAATGTCAATTCAAACCCAATATCAGGAAAAGCTTCTAAATAGAGTGTCCTGTTGATTTTGGGAGGGAGTTCTAGAAGTAAGAAAAATCTGTAAATAGATCAAGGTCTGATTTGTCATCTCTAGGCGTGTCCTTCAGTCAAGACCGATGGGGTACCATGCTCTGGCCCCCAAGTCTGTCCTTTGTACTCCCTTGGGGGCTCTCTGCTCTGCTCCCACGGTTGCTTTGCCGCACGCTTTTTGTGGTTTGCCCAAATTAATATTTTATTTAATACAAGGCACAGCATAGACAGAATGAAAAAAACAAAATCCCTACCATGGTGTCAAATCTGACTCATAGCAACCCTACAGGACAGAGCAGAAGTGCCCCTTTGGGTTTCTGGGGCTGTCAATCTTTACAGGAGTCAACAGCCTCATCTTTCTCCCCAGCCGGTTCAGATTTCAATAAAACATTAGCCAGTACCCTGTAAGACATATCCTTCTTTTTGAGAAATGTGCTCCCTGGCATGATGCTTCTTCTCCAGATCTGAGCACTAGGCCGACCTTTTCAGTTAGAGAAAGGAAACCACACAAACTCACAAAGTCTGTTCTGCCACATGGTGACCCTGCGGCATAGGCTGGAAGTGCCCTCCTGGGCCCGGCTGAGGCTGTAACTTTACAGGAGTGGAAAACCCCGTCTGGGGGGTTGTCTTTTTAGTCAAGTTTTAGTTAATCGTGGGCTTCTAAAGCTGGCAGTTCACAGTGATGATTTCAATAAATACAAAAAGACTAAAAATCCTCAACAACAACCAAAATAGAAGCCTCAATATTACTGGAAAAAGAGACAGTCTCCTTTATGCCCTTATGAAAGGAATACTATAGTTCTTGATACTTTTTGTGTAGTCCTATTTTTAAATTATTTTATTAAAGCTTATGCTTTAAGGCAGCGGGTCTCAACCTACGGGTCCCGACCCCTTTGGGCGTCGAATGACTTTCACAGGGGTCGCCTAATACATCCCGCATATCAGTTATTTACATTATGGTTCCTAACAGTAGCAAAATTAGTTATGAAGTAGCAACGAAAATAATTTTATGCTGGGGTGGGGGGGGTCACCACAACATGAGGACCTGTATGAAAGGGTCGCGGCATTAGGAAGCTTGAGAACCCCTGCTTTCAAGCTTAAAGCTACTCTGCTATTGTCTTTAGTTACTCAAAACTCACCGCCGCTGAGTCAATTCCAAGTCATAGTGACCCTGTAGGGCTGTCGCTGTGGGTTTCTGAGAATTTCAACGTTTCCAGGAGCAGAAAGCCTCCTCTTTCTCCCAAGGAGCAGCAGCCCAACGTGTGACCATGGCACCTCCACGTGCCCTTGTCTTTAAGGCAGCAACTGGGCTTTCTAGTGGCCTGCCTTCAGTTCCTCTTCATCCATAGGAGGGAGCCTCACACGTTGATGGAAAAATGGAATCAAAAGATCATGGAAAATGTCCATGCACTCTTGGAGCCCCTCAGACACGGGCTACATTTTACATGCGAAGGTGGAGTTATAATTTCACTTCTCAGGGTGTGCGTTTTGAGTTGTGATTTTTTTTCTTCAAATAAAAGGATATATTATTCAAACGAGGTAATCTTTGAGTGAGTAGTTTTTAGTGTGGGTTTGTGGACATTGGCCTTTGAGAGCTAAGACGTGAGGTTTAATACTAGTTTTATTAACTAGTAGCTAGGGATGTTCTCCATGAGCCCTGGGGCTGGGTCAGGTAAGCGTTGGTCTGGAAACGGCACAGTTGGCGGTTTAAGCCCACCAGCTCTGTGGAAGAAAGATGAGGCTTCTGCTCCCACAAACATTTAGAGCCTCAGAAGCCCTATACAGCGTCTCTCTGCATTGGGATTGACTCTAAGGCAGTGATTCTCAACCTTCCTCATTCCGTGACCCTTTCATACAGTTCCTCATGCTGTGGTGACCCCAACCATACATTTATTTTCGTTGCTACTTCATCACTCATTTTGCTACTGTTATGAATCGGGAGACCCCTGTGAAAAGGTCATTCGACCCTCAATGGGGTCGCGACCCACAGGTTGAGAATGGCAGCTCTATGGGGTGAGTGGTAGAGTGGTGTTCATGAGGGAGAAAGACGAGGCTGCTTGCTTTCAGAGATTTAGTCTTGGAACCCCTAAGGAGCCGTTCTATTCTGTCTTAGAGAGCCACTGTGACTTGGAATTGACTTGATGGCAGTGGGTCGGGTTGGGTTCAGTGGTGTTGAGTAGGCCTGGGGACCCAGTGGTTAAGTGCCATCCTGCCGTCCGAAGGACAGCCAATTGAAACCACTAGTTGCTCCATGGAAGACAGAAGTGGGAGTTGGCTTGCATCAAGATTGCAATCTTGGAAACCTTAGGAGCAGGTTCTCCTTTGCCCTATAGCATTGCTATGGACCAGAATGGACGGGATGGCAATGGGTTTGATCTGGATTTAGTGGTGGTCAGTGGAGCTTTTGTCCCTGAAATGCCCTGCTAAAGAAGGGTTCAGATGTCCAATAAACTTAGGATCAAATGTGAGTGAGCATTTTGAAGAGTGCTGTGTATTGCGTCTCCCTCCTGAAGAGCCAAACTGTGCATTATCAAAGCCTCTGAGAAGCCTGGTAGTAAAGATAGACTTAGATCACAGAAGCCATTTTGACCTTAATATTGCTCGGAACTAGTAACATGAAAAGCCCTTTGGAAAATATTGCTATAATTGAAATTGCTCGAATGATCTTTAAATCAAGATTTTGAACTGTTTTCCAAGCAATGTAATTCCTTATCTTTTTGAGCAAAATTTATTTTGAGGCCCAAAGACTGAGAAACAATTTTACTTTAATTTAAATGTCTTGTCACTACACATGTACCTGCATGTCCAAGGATTCAAATGTAACTTGGATGGAGGGAAAGGCAATAGATACTAAGGGAGGTCAGCCAAGGGGAAAGACTGTTCTGTGATGCCTAGTGTTACTAAGTGCAATGATATGTGGTCTCTGTAAAGTTTCTTTCACTGCTTGTCTTTTCAGAAATTGACTCATAAATTGCCTTTGTTTATTTTTTTAGGGGAACATTGTGTACTCTTTTGGTCATTTTAATTAGTGAGCCTCAGATTCCAAAATCTTGTCCGATGTTTGATATCCAGCTGGAGACCGATTCCACTTTAGTTGAGATGTCTTTTGATGCTGAGGTGAGATGAACATTTGGCGGGTAGACTAAATATTAACATACAGGAGACTGTCTTTAGTTTAATGTGGACCATGGCCTTGTAGGCTACAGAAAAATTCTATATTAAATCAAAGAGTACAAGTTTTGCCATTGATCTCAAAAGTGAGATAACTTGTCCTTTCATTATTTGTATATTCATCTTTTAAAAACCTGTTTTAGGGAGGGTAAAGGGAGAATGGGTAGGAAAGAGGGAACCGATTACATGGAACTGTGTGTGACCTC